CAGGGCAGGGCAGGGCCGGGCACCGCCGACAGCACACGGGCCAAAGCCTCGGCCGGCTCACCTCGCCACAGAAACAGCCGAGCTTGCTCGTTTGAACACAAGAACACGCAGCACATGGGCTCTCGCCATCAGCCACGCTTGCCAGGATGCAAGCGAGACTGACTTACCTTCGCCCAGGGAAAGGGATTTCTGTGGAAGGCATTTGCACAGTGGGAGAAATGAACGCACGCAGATGAACAGCACTTGCATTATCTGTGTATTTATCGTCTCTCTCCCCACGGCGCTGTGACACAGCAGATGTTTCTTCACCTCTGGAGCGAGTCCAGAGGAGGACACCGAGTTGATCAAAAGGATGGAGCAATTCTCCCATGAGGAAACGTTGAGAGAATTGGGATTGTTGAGCCTGGAAAAGAGAAGGCTTTGGGGTGACCTAATTTTCAGCAGCTTTCCAGTATCTGAAGGGAATTAACAGGAAAGATGGGACACGACTATTTACAGGAGCATGTAGTGACAGGGTAAGGGGGGGAGGCTTCAAACTGAAAGGAAGTAGATTTAGATATTAGGAAAAAATTCTTCCCTGTCAGGGTGGTGAAGCACTGGCACAGGCTTGCCCAGGGAAGTTGTGCATGTCCCATTTGTTTCTAGGATGTCCTGTGACCTCCTAGGGCTGGTTTTAAAAGGAACTTCCTCAGAAACAAGAGATGTCTTGCACTTCATAGGAAAACACTCCAGGCCAAGGCTGGGACTGCAGGGAGGAAGGCAAAGAACAGAGAGCATCTCCTCTGCCTGCAGAGAGGACCCATCCCATAAGAGGGGCTAAAGGGCTGTGGAAATACTTCCACCAGCACTGTGGAGCTGAGACTAAGCCTCCTGACAGAAGCAGGTCAGCCTGGAGCTGGAGGGACTGACAACACACTGTCAAACCCTCTGTGTTGCTCTCAGCCAACCCAGCCACACGAGACAAAATGCATCCAGGAATTAATGTGGGAATTTAATGGGAGCACAGGTGGATTGACACCAGCGAGAAAGGAATCTTTCCTACGAGGGCCAGGATAGCCCTATGACACCTACTGTTGCCAACCTCTGAGATGTTACCAAAAAACCCAAAAAGTCTCAGCCTGTGTGATGGTTTCTGAGCCTGCTCAGGACACAGCTTTACACCACTTCCCACATCCACCTCCCAAAATAGAGCAGATAGAAATCACACTGCTTCTGCAAGCCTCATGTGAAGAGTCACATGGGATGACACGACCCTGCCAGCTCAGGCTGTGTAAGAGCCACCAACATCAGGACAGGGAGGTAATGACAGTGCCTGAGGTCCCTGCCAGCACTGAGGACATGCACCACAAGCCACCAACCCCCTTCCAAATTAAATCCAAGAGTTTGATGGAACGTCCTGATTTGGAAAGGACCCACAAGGATCATCAAGGCCAACTCCTGGACAGTCAACAGTGTCGATACTGCTTCCCTAGAGCAGGCCCCCAGGGACCACCCATTAGGCTCAGCCAGGGTACTGTGTGAAAACCAGCCTCCCAACAGAGTACCAACTCTTTCCAGGGGATCCCAGGACAAAGCACCAGAGACCACACACCCAGGAGGTATTTAAATGGCCTTACATGATGCACTTTGAATTGCTCCTTCAGGCAACCAGATGCAGATTAAAAGGGCACTTTGGAGCAAGCCATGGACAAGTCAAGGATGTTTGCAAGATTTGATTTTTGAGTTCACTGAGAATCCTCAGCTCCTGCTGAAACCCACAGACCACAACTGTACCATTAATCTCAAAAAGAAAAGTCAGGGAAGGGTCTGAGGCCCCTCAGGCTTCATCCAACATGGCTCATGCCTCTCCCAGAGTATTCCTATGGGATGTAGCTCATCCAGTTTTTCGGGGTGCAGGTGCTAAAGCTCCTCAGCCACTTGCTCCAAGGTGAGGTGGACCAGGGCCAGCCACAATCAGCACTGCAGGCTGGCACAGCAGGTCCTTGTACAGATCATCCTTAGGCAGCCAAACTTCCCTCTCTGGACAAAAAATGACCCTGGAAGTAGTCTCCACTGACTTTATTGTGGTTATTCTGACTTGCACTGATTGTACAGATGACAGAAGCCATTAAATCTTCTCCTTCCTCACACTTTGCACAGCAGCCAGGGGATTTATAAGCATCAGGTGAGCTCCTGGTTCTCTAGGAGACAGAAAAATACTTCTCAATCAGACTGGAGCCAAAGGTCCTTGTGAAGAAATCAGTAGCTCTAACAGAAATACAATTTGTAGTCTTTGTTCAAAATTAAACAAGCCCCGACAGCTGTAATTTGGAGGTGCTATTTAAAGAAATCTGCACCCACTACAATCTTAGCAGCTACTTCAAAAATCAGCTCTACAAACAGATGACTATTGACTCCTGTAATGGAGAGCAAAGGAGACGAGATGTGTTCCAGCTGTCTTCGTGGCCAGGATCTGGATAGTCACCATTTTAAGGTGTCTTCATAGGGGCAAGTGCTGAGAGCTTGAAAACACACAGAGTATGGCTGCAAGGGTTAACAATATTAGGAAACAGTGGGAAACCAAAGACCTGGTTGAGCATAACCCCCTGAGAGCAGCAGCCTGCTTGCTCCTGGTTGGATCTGACAGGCAAGCAGAAGGCTTCCAGCCATGGAAAAAGAGAGATTCTCAATCTGTCCTCTTAGGGCAGAGGCTGCAGGAGAGGGAAGTTGCATCTCAAAAGCTGAACCCTGAGGACAAGCTCACAGCATGGCTGGCAGGTTCCCTGCTGTCCTTCCATGGGGGCAAGAGCAGCGTGAGAAAAGGAGGGAGGTGAAATGATAGAGCACGTCCTGAAGTCCTCACCTAAGAGGAAACGTTCCCGCTCATCTGAACCATTTCTGCTGGCCCCCAGCAGGTGTCTCCACCGGCCCGCGATGGTGAGGCACATCCCGGGCAGGCAGAGAAGCCCCAGCCCAGCCTCCAGGTGGGATTCTGCAGCAGGTCACCGTGGGGCACGGAAGGAGAAGGTAAAGCTACAACGATAATGAGCACAAAATGAAAAGCAAACAAAAGAGCGCTCCAGTTTAATACACTTCCTAGGGTCAAATCCCAAAACAAATCAGACACTGAAGCTCCACCCTGCTGAGTATGCCGGCATTGCCATCCATCTCCTGCCCAGAAGTGCAGGCATCCTCAGCCTGGCAGAAATTAGATTAAGGGTGTGTGTGTGGGGGGGCTTTTACCGCATGTAAAAGCCGAGTTAACATTGCTCCCGAGTTACTGTTAAAGGTCACTCACATGGTACATCAGAATTCCTCCCTGCTTTATCTAGAGCGAGGCAGGCATACTCCCAGGATGTGCTCACAGTCCAATGGTCCCACGAGCTCCTGGAGAGGAGAAAAGAGATGACCAGACAGGACTGACCAGGTCCAAGTGACACTGGGGACAGCTGGGGACAAGTGGGTGGTGACAGAGGCCAGCAAGGCAGGAAAGAGGTGACAGTTACCAGTGAGGGGGAACATGCAAAGCAAGCCCCCAGCTGGGAAGGTTTCCTGTGGAGGAGAAGGATGACTCTCCTGAGGGCAGAGCCACTGAAAAGGCAGTTTTGAGTCAGGCACTGTAGAAAATGCATGGCATGGCAGCTGGGCCCAGAGCACCCCTGGGGTGCCCGACCCCTCGGGACTCCTGCCTCCCTCTGCTACATGAAGCACACAGTGGAGAGGAAATCAGTCCTTGCTCTATCTAATTCTGGGATGGGCATTTCTGTGGCTGCCCTGCTCTCTGCTGAACCCCATTCAACCTGAAGCCCTCTTTGCTCTGCTCCTGGCTGCCTCCCTGTCACAGTCAGGGGCATACAGATGAATGGTGACACATCTCTAACATCCCAAAGTCCTCACACCTTAATCCAGCTGCTGCTGGTTCTGAGTTGGCAAAGACAATTAACAGTAATCTGTCAGAGTTCAAGGAGTATCTGGATGATGCTCCTCACCACAAGATTTACTTTTAGGTCATGCTTCCTGTCTAGGAACCACACTGGGCTAGAAGGAATCAGCACAAAAATCCCCAGTGCAGACTTACACTAAAAAACATGGAAAGATTTGGCACCTGGATTCAAATTTACCACAAGGGACTTGAACCTCTTCTAAGAGTTTAAAGATTTCTCAGCTACCCTGTGAAGACAGGGATACACCAGAAAAGAACACAGCCATACTAGAAATGGCAATTTTTGGCAGAGCTGTGCCAGGGGTTCAGATGGATTTTCTCTTGGGAAAGCTGTTTAAAGCACAGCTTGCAGGAAGCTGGCTGAGGCAGAGAGATGGAAGCATGGTGACTATTACTATGCTGAAGGTACAAAAGAAGTCCACAGCCACACTAAACACAGGAAACCATCACCACCCATCTTTGTCCCAACAAAGCATCACTGTCCCACATCTCATGTCCAGCTTTGTAACTCTACTACAGATTGTAACTCTACTACAGATACTCACAACCCTCTCCATGGTGAGCATCTTACTTTTCATTCTGTTTGAACGAAGCAAGTAGCAAATCTCCAAGTCTCTTTTTTGCTTCAGCTCCCCAGTGCCTCTGCCCCTGAGTACAGAGACTCTCTGCAAGCTGTTCATGGCAGTCACATGTCCACCCCAGAGGTGATCCCTGCCCAGCACCCAGCACTTGCTCCAAGAGCCTCCAACTCTGAGAAACAGGAAACAACTTCTCTCTTACACCAAGCAAGCCACTGCTCTGCTGCTGCCAAACCTCCTGCAGCTGAGGGACACACCAGGAGAGTCTTCCCTTCACAACTCAGCTTTTCTAAGTTATCCAGGGGATTTGAGCAAGGAAATAGCACCTTGTGAGGCTACCAAAGCCCAAAACATAGGGGTCTAAGGACCTGAGAGCACCAGGGGCAAGAAGGGGGTGGGCACTACTGTCCCTCATCTGAGGCTCCCCAGCACCAGGGTCATGGGGGATAAATGCATTTCTGATGGATGTTCCCAATGTTCCTGCTGCCTCTCCCTGCCAGGGGCTGACAGAGCACTGCTGTCAGATTTCTGCCTTGCACTCTTTTTCATTGTCTGCATTTTCCATTTCTTCCTTGTTATAAAAACAACAAAGCAAAATCCCATCAACTATAACACAGAATTGGTTTTTCTGGTCAGCACCAAGGTTGGGATCTGGCTTGCAGGGTCCCTGCAGTGACACCTGCCTGGGGACATGCAATGAGAGATGACAGAAACAGAAGAAATCACTAATGCTGTAGGAAGAACCACTTGGGAGGAGAAAGGCCCCTGTTCACAAATTTTGGCCAAGAAAATCCTGAATGGGAAGAATAGTTTCCTACATGTTTAGCTCAACAAATCCTTTTCTCAAACAATCTACTGGCAATTCATTACCCTGGATCTGTAGCCAAGATGTTCCCGCTGACCACAGATGTCAGATCAACACACAAAGGTGGTTTGACATGTGCCACAGAGGTGCAGAGCTCCCTGCTGATCCCTCCTGGCACATGGACTGCTCATGTGTGTGTGCCTGTTAGCTCTGTCCCAGAGAGGGAACTTATCTTGCACAGAGGGGACAAAGAGGTGATGCAGGAACAGCAATGATCAATGCAGATGACAAGGCATGGGTCCTGAATAAAGGATGAAAGCTCTAGAGAAAAGCTACATTTGGGGATGAGCCTTTTGCAGCCTCTGTCACAGGTCTCTAAGAATATTCTTTGTATTGAATACCTTCCTTTTGAGGGGAAACCCAAAGAAAGCTGAGGAGATGGTTACTGGCCTTAGAAAGGGGACAAATCAGTCTTTCAAGAAGAAACCTTGAAGGTAAAAAATAGGGCAAAATGTTTGAATTGGACTCCAGATTTAGTATTTCCTGTGGGGAGACTCTAAAGATCCATTCCAATGCTACAGAAAACCTCTTGGTGCAAAGGCTTAAGTCAGTTTTGAGCTATTAAAGATCCAAGGGGTGAAGAGAGCCTGTTCTGAGTCTGTCTCTAACCCTGTAGACAAAGAGTAACCACAGGAGACTCATGGCTCCACAGTGCCAGAGAATATGCATGGATTGAGCATGTCCAACCACACAGCAACAGCTGGACTCTGCTGCTTCTACCGCTGAGAAGCAGCAGGGACTAGAGAGTGAGGAGGAAAAAATGGCTTGAACTGCTGGAAGAAAGTAGAATCTAAGCACATCAGTCTAATCCAGGTAGGGAAAAACCCCATTTTTTTTTCCCCTGGCCAAAATTAATGTGTGTGTCTGATGGATGCTGAGAGGCTCTGCTGATGGGCTCCAGCAAGGTTGGATGTATGGATGCCTCAATTCTACTGAGCTCACCTTCCTCAGTCTTGATACCTGATTCCCTTGGTGTCAGAATGAATTTGTTTATTCTGATCACTTAAGAATATCAACATGTTTAATGTGGCCCAGAAATAATATCTGACATGCTGCCCTTCTGCTGGGCTCTTGATGAGCAATTTGAGGTGTTAATAGCTTGGAGACCATCTTCATTACCAGCTCTGCCATGCACAATCACATGGTGGCTGCTGAGGGACCCAGAGAAAATACATTCCTGCTTAATTAACATGCAGAGCAGGACAGGGAGCTGTCACAGCATCCTCAGCAGGAAAGAGGCAGCAGTGGGGCCATGCCAAGCCCTCTGGAGCAGAGGCTGCTCTCGTGCCACATGCTTGGGACCCTCACTGCCACCAGCTCCTCAGACTCAGGTGACTCAGCATCAGGAGGAGCAAGTGCCTGCAGGCTCAGGTCCAGCAAAGCCAATTGAGGGGGAGATGGGCTGATTAAAAGCTGAACACTGATTCAGCATTCCCATTTCCAAAAGCCTAAATTGGTTCTAAAAAAACAGGAATACAGAAAAACAGGCAAATGGCCAACAAGTGGCCCCAGAGGAAATTAATTCCTCACAGAGTTCACTGGAATGTGCTTATTTCTCTTGAATATGTTATTGAAAAATATATGCATTGTTCTAGCCTAAAAATTAGATTTCCCCTTTAGGTTGTAATTAAACTCTAATCTAATTTGGCAGAAGATAACAGGGACCTCCAAGCAGAGCCAGCAGCTCTGCTCTTTCTTCTCCACCTCCTTCTACCTGCTTTTGGCAACTTTTGTCTGCATCCCAGGGTCTGCTCATGAAGGTGCTGTGCACCAAGAAGGGGCACACAAAAAAACTTGTTAGAATTTGATGAGACCCAGCTGGAAATGGGCTGACCCAGTGCCCAGGGCTTCTCTCCTAAGCCCCCCTCAGAGTCACAGTTGGTTTACAGCTCCCAGGAGGCTGTGTCCTCTGAACAACACTGCTCCTGGATGAGCTCAATTCCTCATAACAGCAGCACTTTGATGCCCAATGGTTAACTTGGTTTGGTTTCCTGGGGCATTATGGAAAAATCATTTGCATCTGTCATAAAAACTGCCCAGCTCAGACTTCTGCACACTGCAGAGAGGTCAGAAAGGAGGAACTGTGTTCCTCCAGAAATGTGTTTATACATGTGCCCCAGTATGAGTGCAGGATTGTTCCTGGGTTTGGGAAGCACAGCCCAGCCCTGGGTGACCCTGCTTCCAGGGCTGTTCAGATGGTGCTCCCCCCAGCAGCTGCAGCTCTCCCTAAAGCTGTAGAACCTGCTGATCTCTGCCAAACACCAAAGAACTGCTCTCTAAAGGTGAGTGTGGTTGAACAGGCCAAAATTCAATTCACCAAGGTGGCCTTTGCCTCAGGCCACAGATGTCTAAGAAAGCAGCTTTCCTTCCCAGGGCAAGTATGGAGGCTACACCAACACCAAACTGGTAGAGATCACCTATTCCCTGAGCTTCCAGCCTGATCACAGATGGCCAGTGTTATTTCCACAAGGAAAACTCAAAACCAATTTTTCAAATCCCAGGCAGACAGCCTTGGTCTTTGTGAAGTATAGGAAGTACAGGACACCAGGAAGAAGAGCTTTAAGCAGAGCACAAAGGTGCACATACCTGATGGTGTCTGGCTGTCTGTCTGGAATGACCAGTGGTACTGGGCAGGAATTGGGCTGCAGTTGGTCATCTCCATATACAGCACTTGTTCAGTATCATTCATGTTTCAGCCAAAGTCCATGGCCTGGGTCTGGAGATTTGGGATGTAGACTTCTCCCTGAACAGTGACCTGCTCCTCTTGAGGATGCTCCATGAAGCACATCCCAGAGAACCCTCTTGGCCACCCAGCTATTCAGATTGTTCTCATAAACTGGGTTAAACTGGATGCAGAGATGAAGTTCCTGCCCTACATTGAGCGCCATGGCCTGCAAGGAGATGTGAAGCCTTAATCACCTTTGTGATCAAGTCCCAAGGTCTCACAGCAGGAAACAGTAAATATTCAAAGTGTGACCCCAGCGTGGGCTTCTCAG